TGGATGGTCAGGAAATGCATGTGAGAAGAAATTACACAACTACAGTAAGTTAGCAGCTGGCGATAAAAACAAAAGATTGGTCACTTAATGGAGAGTCTAAGGATCAGTGAAGGAGAGCGGCTTCTCATCGCTGTCTGTCAGCAAGTCAGGCTGGCAGTCCTCCATGCTCTCTGCCATAATAACAATATCTCCCTTTATTAACGTATTAAAATAATATACGACTGACAGAGGAATTGAAATAAAAACTTTGACAGGAATAAATGCCTTCATAAAAATGACAAGTGCAATGTTACTCGTGCCGTCCCAAACAATCGCCGTTCAGCATTTCACCCTCGGCGGGCATGATCGATCTGCTGCTGGATGAGGCCTCCTTCCCGAGCCTCATGGTCGTGCGACGCACCAATCCATTGCGCTTGCAATGCCTCACGCCTTCAATTAGCTTGTACAAGTACCAGCGTTTATGATCTACGTCCTAGCCGATTCAATTTCGTATACTGCGGTAAAACACTGATAAATATTCAATCTGTGTGCCTGATTCAAGGCCAATTTTATTTAAAACTTTTTCAGAATTTCACCAATAAATGGGAAAATCCACGAATGATATTCCTCCGAAATCCACGAAGCAGGAGTTAGCCTGAATCAAGACGATTTCACGTGTCAAATGAACTGACTCCCTTCTTAATACATACGTTGGTGCTTTCTTCGTGTGGCAGTTTTGTTTTGGTAAATAGTTTTTATTATTATTATTTTTGTATATATTTTAGGCCTTGGTTTGTGAAAGTTTGGATGACTGCATCAAATGTCTACCAAATCGAATGCAAATGTAATTGTCTACAAAGGCCAGACATTATGGTAATTAATATCCATTGGTCTTTTCCAGAACCTGATCAATAGTTTGCATGCAGCCAAACATAGAGAAACATTTCCCAAACCCCAATATTTTGTTATTCGCTTCCCAATGATCTTCGTAAACAATGCATAATCATTTGATTCAAATCAAACCCTATGCAGTTCCTCGTTACGCCAATATTAATTAGAAGAGCAAATGAGCGTTTTATTTTTGTGTCAACATTCACGTGAAAACATTCTGATAGTTTTCCGATCATTGGTGCCATTTCTATAATCAAGCGTCGCCCGATAAGCCAGTGTTTCTTAACCAAACCAGTGGGACCAAAAGGTTACGGCCCCCTTTATAACACACCTTCGGTAAATGGTGTTGCACCACACACACACACACGGCACTTGGATAGCTATCACAACTGTGAAAATGCACTCTGTCCGTTTGCTCGGTAAACAGTATCACTCTTGCTCAAAGAAAAAAGACCCGCAACTAACCCCTCCAGAAACACGGAGCGACGACATTGTGCCTTGAGAATCAAGTGGTCAGGTGACCTGAATTCACATCACAAGTAAAGGTACTTGAGACGTGCTGTCATAACATATTCATGATCTTTAGAGTTGTTTAGTTTTAATATAGATGTTTTTTTTCCCTCCAAATCTATTACAATTGTGCTATCACACCTTGCTACATCCCAAAGAATACATATATAAATCTTGAGGAGGAATGAGCAGTGTTTGAGAATGGCTCTTCCAAAACATATATTTGAGTGGCATGTTCTATCTTTTACATAATAGGGGTCATTGTTTCTCTGCCAAATTAATACAGTATTTTATATTCTCAGGGCTGGAAAGCAGCCAAATTACCACTGAATTCAATACAATGGGTTTTTTTCCAGTCATACTGCATTTTAAAACCAGGCTTAACCTTGCCCAGATTCAAACCTAAGATCTCAGCAATCCCAGCTCAGCACTCTGACCTCTGAGCCACAATAGGTAGAGAAGACAATTAAGGGGACATAATTACATGCCTTGCATGAACTCAGTATACGTGAACATGTACGGCACATTTGTCAACCCACTGCTGGATGAGAGCCTCCCCCATGATGTGCTGGGCGTGGGGGGTTATTTTTAGCGAAAGTTAACCAAAGTGGTCAGAGCGGGTTAGTGGATGCAGGCAGCTGGGATGCGGTTGAGTAGAACTAAAGTACAACAATAGAGTATGTTACCTTCCGCTGCCCACCACATTGTCAGTTGTGCAATATCCCTTCACGACCCTGTACTGGTTCTCTGCAATCGTTTCTGCTGTGGTCACTTCACTACGGAACCTTCCGTTGTAAAATAGTCGGGAAACTGGCTAAACGGGATTCTCCGTAGAAGACAACAAAAAAAACCTCAAACATCACTTCGCCCCACAGCTTATAACAACCTGACCAGCCCTGGTCACCCATCGAAGCACTATCCAGGCACTATCCAGGCTAAAGCCTGCTTATCTTCCGATATCGGAGTCCTTTCAGGGTGATTTGTTCATAGGTGCGCAGTACAAATGATGTATAACTTGGGAGTGGGGGTTAGGTCTAGGTGGGATAGAATAGAGAGGGGTTCAAGGGAGCCGGAGAGACTCATAAAGCAGAAGTCTGTTGGGAGGTGAGCAGTAAGCAGAGTATTAGGTAAGGAAGGAAAGAGCAGTATTGCAGCGAAACCCCAAATTTAATATACTTCCAGTCCCCGACTTATGAACGGGTTCCGTTCCTGAGACCTGCTCGTATGTGGAACAGTTCGTGAGTCAGACCACAATGCAGTGCTGCATTTATTTGGCCATACAGCCAGTGTTATAAAATGTGTTACAGCTCAACAAAAAGGGAAGCATTGCTAATTTAATAAATAATGCGAAATATCGTACACTCACATGTAACACTTTGATAAATACTGTATAGTTAGTAAGTCGATGGTTTTAAAAAATGTTGGCTTGCTTGTCAAAAGGGGCAAATTGAGTCACCACAATTACACAACAACAAACTGGTGGGGCAAGTCCTGTTAGCGAAAACTGTCACGGAACACATCACCACGCAGGACCGCCTTTGACTCCCCAGTGGCGACGATTACACACCGCACCAGGTACGTACTCATTGCAGGCTGAGTAGACCTAAGGGAGGCCCAGGTACCCATTTGGCCAAAACTCGTCTTGATCTTTGAGCGGGAATTGAACCCGCAGCGCCACTAACTGCTGCACTATAACAACGACAACAACAACCACCACTAAGTGGCGGTGACGTCACCACGACGCTTTTTCAGGCTATGTGCTCCCTGAGGCCACGTGAAGTGTCGAATGCCCGCTGGCAGGAGGTCACGGGGCAGACCCAGGTGCCACGGGTCGACTGACTGAGATGACTGGCTGATGCACCACCTGTGCCCCCTACTGTGCCAACCCGCTGTGCTTCAGCCACCCGGCGCTCCGCTCGTTGTTGTGAGCGTCGCTCCTCCGCGCCTCCATTGTTGTTGGAGGGCGACTACCTCCATCTGCCCAGTAGCGTCCTTCACGAGCTTCCTCCACAGAGGCCGATCTTGACACCACTGGTACCAGTCATCGGCAAGTCCACTCAGCTCCACGTCCTCCTGTACCACATCACTCCATCTCTTCTCTAGCCCGTGCCGCGCCCATTTATCCCCCTCAATCCGGCCAAACAAAAGCTGTTTCGGCATGCGGTGGCTGGGCATGCGGGCTACATGACCCAGCCATCGCAGCCTTGCCCGCCGGAGGAGCTCACCGATGGGACCTTGCCCAGATCTTTCAAGGATTTGTGAGCTCCTCACACAATCCAGTCTGGTTAAACCCAGGATAGATCGTAGGCAGGCCAGCCTAAATGTTTCTAACCGGCGAAGATGTTCCATTAGGGGGGTCCACGTTTCGCAAGCGTAGAGAAGGGAGGGAATGACCATGGCCGAGAAGACCTAAAGCTTAGTGCGGAGCGACAGACCAGGTAGCTTCCACACAGCGTTACGCAACCGATGAAAAGATATTGCCGTTCGACTGATTCGGAGTGAGACCTCTGCTGTTAAACTGGAGCCGGTCATAAGCACACTGTCCAGGTATGGGAAACTCTCCACTCTCTCGACAACTACCCCATCACCGATTGGGAGTTGTGGGGGTGGAGTGTCCGATGGTACAAAATACCCAGGCAGGTGCTTAGTTTTGGTGGGGCTGATGGTAAGGCCCCATCTCTTAGTGGCACGCTCCAGTCTCAGCAGCAGGGTCTCCAACTCCTCCTCTGAATGAGGAGGAGTGTGTGTGTGTACTATGCACACACACACTCACTTTCACACACGTGCACACACACAATCCCAGCGGGAAGCTGGGACTCATTTCATCTCGCAGAGGATTGTTCCACTGAAAAAAAACAGCGATTCGGTTTGCATGTGCGAGTTCACTTTCGCAAGTCGATGGTTAAAAAAAAACTAAATATCTCATGGAAGCTCGTTTGTAAGTGCGAATGTTCGTAAGTGCGGATGTTTGTAAGTCGACGACTTCCTGTAATGGGATCTTTTGTGCAATCATTTCTGATCACTACATGGAAGAGAAGCTCAATCCAGGAATCGAACCTATGCTCTCAGCGGTAATGGCTCAGCACAGTGGCCTCTGTGCCCCTGTACCACCTCCTCTGCTGTTAAGGTTTTTTTCAATGGTATATTGTTCCCATGTTCTAAGTTCGTTTTGCACAAAGTCACACGTTTACACTGCCTCTGAATTAACACGGTAGATATAGTAATTAACATACTCTTTGGTTCTATTCGGTAAAGTCACGTAAAAAAAACAAAAAATAAAAAAATAACGACGTTTCGGCCACAACACAAGTGGCCTTCATCAGGTGAAGGGACCAGACTGACTAGAGGACAGCGCTGGAGTGAACACAGCCAAGCTCTGACCGCGACCTTTAAGCTGTGTGAGAGGAAGCAGAGCGCCTTGACAAAGGAATTAGCATAACAATTAGCATTTATTTGGTGGACTCAGTATGATGAACGATGTAGAGGGGGGGAGCATGTGCAGACCGGCGAGGGGGGGAGGGGGGGGGAGTTTACATATTGATGGTGTGAAAAGGGAATTTAAGCAGCTGCGAAAGCTTCAAATCTAGAATTAGTAATTAACGTTAACATGATTTACTCACGCTTTGAAGTCCTTGAGGCTTGCAGTCACACTGTCCAGGCTGCTCCATGCTTTAGCATCAGTCAGTGCCATCAGAATGGACGATGCCTCCTTAACACCTTGCCAGAGGTATTCACTCTGCTTCTGAACTCCCTCCAGCATCAATATGCCGTCCTCAATCTTCGTGAGGATTGACGAGTTCACATTTAACAGCATATCCATTATCTAGACACAGGAGAAGCGCTCTCAGATTAAAATATGTGTGAGGCATTACATTCTAAGGACACAGAATCGGCGACTCAAATTCGTTTCAAGAGAGAGGCAGGGGTACAACCACCGTGTGGATGACATTCATGATAATTGTGCTCATGACGAAACCCGTGTATGTACAGCAGCGCACAGACGGTGGTTCAATACTCAGTCAATAGCCAGAAGTTGTGTAAATGTAATAACAATCATAGTTTGGTAGAAGTCTTATTCCTGATGGAGTGGGGCAGAGTGTGGGTTGGCGAAGCTAGCCAACCCTGTAACGCATGGAGCCATGACGCTCAGAGGACTCCAAAATGCCCACGATGCAATGGTGGCCCTGCCATGGGCAATAACTTATCAGGTCTATTTCGTAGATTCATAAGAGTCAATGACATCACCTGGATAATTGCATGGTTCGGCAAAGTTTATACAAAAGGCAACATGTATATTTCAAAACGGATGGGGAATGCTGTGATACAAATATTCGTGAAACTGTTACAAACATTTGGAATCGATATAGATAAGGTCTCTGTGCCGAAGAAAACCAGCTCCACACGTCCATGGGTTTCAGTTGTCAGACAGAGAAAACCTATTTGCTACGTTAGAAAGCAGACAGTCCACTGTTAAAGAAATTGCAAAAATACCTTCAGGGCCAAATATAACAAAATGGGAAAAACAATGTCTCGCATTATTCCTGCTGTTTTGCACATGCGCGCATTGCAGCACAATTATACAATTAATTACCTTGGTGACGTTGAGGGCTGTTACCGTCTTGTTTAATGTGTTCAGTCCTTCCACCAGCAGGGACTGATCGCTATTGCACCAGATTTGCATGGTGCTGTTGAAGGTTGGCAGCAAATTGGCGATGAAGTAATTCAGCTCATAAATGCTGAGCTGGGATGACCGGGCTGTGGTAATATTCTCGGCCATCCCAGTCAGCTGAGAGCACCAAAGAATCTTCATATTCTGTGCAAAAATCATCTCATCCTGTCCCGTGTACAAAAAAAAAACTTCCTTTTAGAAATCAACGAAGGTACATTGTTTAGCTGTGGACGTGGAGATTGGCCAATGCTTGACATCATGGGTTAGACAGCAAAGTAAGAAAATGCAAGCCCAATGTAAGTAACCAACTTCCGTAAAATAAAATAAATCACGACGTTTCGGGCGCTTGTGTTGCGCCCGAAACGTCGTGATTGATTTTATTTTACTTTTTACCTACGTGACTTTACCGAAAGAACCAAAGAGTATGGATTCCTGCAGTCACGAAAGCTTCAAATCAAGATTGAACTTCCATAAAAGGAACGACTGTGCCATTGATGCCTGGCATGACCTATTTCAGGTGAATGTGCTACTCATACAGTGTTGTAACGGATTGACAAAAGTACTGGCAATGGCTTACAGATGCTATGTCACAGATAAACATTGCAAGCGTACTCTTTGTTTTTTTCGGTAACGTCACGTAGGTAAAAATAAAAAAATAAAGTTAGTTACACCTGATGACGGAAGCTTGTGTTGCCTCCGAAACGTCGTGATTTGATTATTTTTTATTTTTACCGACGTGACTTTACCAAAAGAACCAAATAGTATGGATCATTGGAGTCACGAAAACTTCAAAGCTAGAATTGCAAGCGGACTTCACAGCTCTGCCAATCAATTGCTGAAGCTCCACTCCCCCAGCCCTGTAAGTGAGTGTGGGGTTATTTCTCTATACTTTTAACAACGCTTGTGAGTGCAAGTTGATGAAGGGAGGGGGAATGGGGTTAGAACCAGTTCAAATAGCAATCACCACTGATGCAATAAGGGAGGCATTCATTCAGCAGTGGATAGCCAATAGCTCCTGATGATTATGATTTTGCAGAACAATGCTACTGGGTTCTTATACTACCTATAAAACGCCAGTCACGTGTTCTGGTCGTGTTATTATTATTATGATGATGATTAAAATGAATCAATGTTTTGCTTACCGTGTTGTTGCCGGTGGATGACAACATTCGTCCAAAGAGAGTGTGAGACAGGTTTCTCCACAGAGTTGGGTGAATACCCAGCTCTGTGCCATTGGTGGCATCCCACACTTGGGTGAAGTTCACCTCTACGGGAGCAAGGCCACGTGCGAGAGAGAGAGAGAAGGCATCCATCGTCGGTGTTCAACATTCACAGCCTGCACGTCTACAGTGCGCGCACGCAATGCACTCGCGAAGGCATTGCAATCTAACGTGACGACGACGCACCCAATGCCAAGGGTTTCAAAGAGCAACTCTGCAATGTTAAAGTGTTCACACGGAGAGCCAATAATAACCCTCCTTTAGCTTCGATAAGCGCTATTAATGTCACATATACAGGCGACACGGCACCTACAGAAAACTGGTGGAGTCAGCGTCACATCTTGGCACGCACGCCTCGCTGTGCTCGTACCAATGCATTAGAAATGTTGGATTAGAGTATTTACAATGTATTCACATTCTACACGAATGTTACATTTAGGGTAATTGAACAAAGCATATACCACTGAATCAGGGCCTAGTCCTCTTGTGTTTGACGGCGGATAATAGGATGAATAATCTACTTCAAGAGGCTGCTCCTAGGTCACCTGAGGTCAGGTAAATTCCACAGATAATGACCACAGATGAAAACCACAGAATTGTACAAAAAATCCGTGTTGTTTCCTCTTATCCGTCCACAATCTATAATAATATGAGCCAAGAATGTCTGTGTGTCCTGCGCGTGACGTCACTCCACATCGACCAGCCCCCCTCATTAATAATCATAAACAGGTTACGTCACTCCACATCGAACAGCCCCCCTCATTAATAATCATTATGAGGTGACGTCCTCCAAATGGATACCCCCTCATTAATAATAATTAGCGGCTGACGTCACTCCACATGGTGGGGGGGCGAGGCGCCTCCTCCCCCCTCCTCAGCATCAACTGACAACCCTCACTACAAAGGCAGAACCCTCACATCACGTGATCTCCGTCACGCTGTTGTTGAGACATCAAAGTAAAAAGGACGTCGTAATGAACAAGGGATTATAACCTTAACATGAAATAGGTCTGTGTCACCGCGCCCTTACAAATTGCACACGAATGGATACAATGAAGATCACGTCGCGGTCTGCTTTTTGCTAGAAAGTTTCTGATTTACTGCAATACACCCGCCCTTGGATGGGCAAAAGGCTAGTCGATAATAACTTGACATATTTGGCATAGTCGTGTGAGACCACTGCCAGGTTAATTTGGGTTGGGTAAATCCTGTGAATAGACGCAGATAATATGATAACTTTGCCGAGACTTCGGGGTTACTTCTCTTGCCTATGCTTTTGCATGGATAAGCGGAAAAATACACACGGATAACACTGTGTAACAAAACATTTTTGTTCCTGGGTAGTAAGTATAATTCCTAATTGCATATGCCTAAAAATTGCAGAAAATGGCTATTATTCTCCAGAAACTTTGCTTTTGTAACCAGGACATTGATATTTTGAAATGTATCTATTTTCAATGAGAAAACGTGGTGTGCATTTGTGTCATTCCTTCACATAAAGTCCTGGTCACAAAAGCAAAGTTTATGGGGAATAATAGCCTTTTTCTGTACTTTTGAGGCATAAGGAATTGGAGAATAACACTTACTACCCAGGAACAAAAATAGTGTTACATAGTGTAATAAGACGGTACAATGGATTACTTAAAGGACGCAGATTATATAATAAATCGGCAATAGGATTGTGGATCAGATGAGTTTCACTGTCATAAATTACTTTCTTACACAAACCCATTCCAGCGATTCACAGTTTTACAAAAAGGCAAGTTCTGTTCCTTTGTTTGTTTTAAACCTTCTACAGATAACATCCAAATTTAACTTCATTGCACAGTAGAGTACAGACAAGGCACAACCTTGTATGTACAACGCACCGAGTTGTCTTAAGATGCGGTCCACGTCCTGCTGCAGCCTCGGCATTTCTGCGTCCACTGTTTGCCTGTGTAGCCGCACCATCTTCATCGTCTGAAACACCATGGCCTCGTCCAGCCCCGTGTCTTGGTATAGTAAAGACCTGCGCGCGGGAAAAGGGGGCAAATGCCCCGCTGTGTAAGTGCCACACAGAGTGGGAGGGGGAGGCGGCGTGCTTGCGTGCATCAGGGGGTACAGCTGGTGTGCATCTACCGGTCATCTCAGTCAGCCAACCCATGGCACCTGCTGGGTCTGTCCCGAGGCCTCCTCGTCAGCGAGCCTTCGACACTTCACGTAGCAGCCTCAAAGTGCACCTGGCCTGGCACAGGCGCCGTGGTGACGTCACCGTCACTTAGTGCTGAATGGCGGTTATTGGTATTGGTAGAGTTGCCCCCGTGGAATTAGAGGCGCCGTTACCTCAACCGCTGTCCATCCCTCATTGTACGGCAACTCAATATACGGAATTTCGCTATCACGTAACTTGTAAGTTAGGGAACTCATTCGATATGCGTTATGTTAAATTCGCATTTAGGGAATTTTTAATCTTTAAATTATGGACAAAAAATTTTGGGGGAATAAAATTTTAACAATGCACCCAGTCTGGCGTTTGTCCAAATGTGCATTTCACCAAAGTTTCGACCGGTTTGGACCTTTAGAGTCAGATTTGTTAAACAAATGCTCTATAAAAAAAGCAATATTATACACATACTTTATGTGTGGTGCTCATTTATAGTCAAGGTGCGGTGTCCCTTTGGCATTGGAACACCAATCACAATTGTGTGGGTGTTTGATATGTGGAAGGAAACTCGAGTACCCATGGATTACCCACGCATGTGACGGGTAATACAGCTACTCAAAGATATATTTAACAATCTATTGTGATGCAGCATTGTCATGCCAATCTTGCAGGCCAAGCCGACATCACCTTGTATTCCCAGGCAGAAAACCATTCCAGTACTCACCAGACTCAAACCTGTGTAGCTTCCGAGGTAGGATGAAGTCAGTGTTTTGTGTGAAGATGGAATGGAAATATATGGCAGCATATTATCTGAAAGCCCCACTGCGGTAACACATCAATGTTGATTTTTTTGTCATGTTGGGATTTAACGCTGTTTCTATAGTATTTCTACAGCATTTATTTCAATATATCGAATAATTACAGCTGAAAAGTACGTCCTCATACTCAAATGATTGTGGGGCAGTGACCACATTGTAGTCCTGAGCCAGTGGTGGAGCCAGTGGTGGAAATATGACATTCCTATGGCAAACCTTGATCTCTCTAAAGGACACCCACAGTTAATCCTCCACACCCCTGGCAGGGATTTAAACTCAAACGTGAGTAAAGGCATTCCACGTCAAAGCACCACCTGGGTGTATAATAATAAATAAATATACACACAGATATTATAATTGGCCAATTACATTTTACTAAGCTGCACATCACTCTGGTCTCATATACTGACCTTGACCTTGAAGTGGTTGAGTGCAGATAGCTGGTGTTCTTGCACTCTGGGGTGGAGTCACAAAGCAATGACTGCAGGAAAGGGAAAAAGCCTCCACTTGGCAGTGTCTGCACTGGCAGGTAGCCTGCCGGAGGGAGAGAGGTGGACAGCCGAAAGTTGACATTGCAGAACACGTGGTCGCATGTGACAGACTTCAAGTGCATTCTCAGCACACTTTTTATTCTTCATGATTTCAAGCCAATTTTTTTTTCTCCTGGGAGCAGCTTTCAAATATTGTTCAGTGTGATGAGGTTGCAAACGCTTGCTTTACTTGTTATATGGTCGCCCCAGCTGAAGTCATGCAAAATGGAGCAGTTAAATCTTACGCGGCAGGTAATATACCGTGATGAAAAAGCCTCTTATTCAGAGGCATCATTATGTTCGGGACAAACGATGGCGTGACAGCCAAATGGGTGCACATGGCCGACAGGACACCCACCGCAGAGATGGACCGGTTCAGATATCACATTGACATTGATGTTAGCCATGGCTGGGATTCGAAGTCAGGTGGCCTGATTCATACTGGAGAGCAATAACCACTGCACCACCACTTCTTCCACCAGTTGATAAAGAAGAATTAATACATTTCAGTCCATTATCAAATGATCAAATTTACTGTGGGGAAACCAAAAGTAAGTTTTGAGAAACCTCATTAAGTTTTTTCCAAAGCAGAGGCAATAAATGTTTTCTTCGCAACTTGAACCAAGGAATCGAGGAACTCAAAAGCAGTTTCTGATTCAGTCTCACATAAATACCCTGTGCTTGAATAGTTGACCCTATATAAGGTAAGGTTCACCTGTTTATGTAAAATCTAAAATTTGATAAGTAACCCTGTTATTATGCTTTAATTTAATTGTAGGTATTTCTTACATGTATCCAAATTATTGTCATTTCCCACAAAATCGCAGGCTTACTCAATAGGCATGATTCACTTACACCTCAATCATTGACCTCTCACAACTCAGGGTTACAAGTCACAACTCAGGGTTTACGATTCAAGTCAATAATTTTTTTTAAATCTGTAATTTTACTTGTGTCGTTTGTATAATTTCTCAAATGTTCTGCCTCATTTGCGATGTCGTATTCACGAATTTGGCCTCAATGCAAGGTTGCTTTCTCACGTGCACATGATTTGCATACATCATAATGCTATTGTCTGATAATCTCCTGCACAAACTATTTAAAGTGTGCCTCGTGAGCATCAGAATTTATTTCAAGCAATGAATGAATACATTTTTACATGCACAATACTCAAGATAACATCAATTTAATTTTATTTTAATAAAAAAAGCACGTGTTTGTGTATCGCTATTATTTTTGTTTACTTTAAAGTACGCTCAGTTCTGTGGTCCATCAGTATAGTTTGGAGGGCACTTACATGAAGACTTTTGTTGAGGGGGGCTTTGAGTTCGCAGGATGGCGATGATGATGAATAGGATACATGGCCACACCACGACTGATATTGGCAGAAACTGCACGCACAAACAAACACACAAACGCCATATCGACTATTTGTACAAATGTATAAATTCCTCACACTTAAAAGAACCAAATAATAACAAGTCCAAAAGTGAAGCTATCAGATCTGAAAGGTGTACGTTTGTAAAATGATGGTTTGTTATTTAATTGATACATTTTGAGATGTTTCACACATAATTTTACCACATACGGGGGTCAACCATCATTAAGGTGTAAAAAAAATTAGTAGCACCTTGTGGGAAGTCATCAACAAGGTTAATCTTCTGGAGAAACTGTGGAAAATATCACCGCTGGCTCACAGCCACTCCCCAAGGCCCATCTAAGCCTCGAGAAACTCTTCATGAAGTAAAGGGGGAAGTCCTGCAACTGCTTTCCCACGCCACTCCATTTGGAGCACTAGAGAGCCACTTTAGATCCTCATGGCTTACTCTTACACGCTGACTAAACATTTAGGAAGAGGTGTGAATACTCACACTTTACTCCACCACGCGTTCCGTGACGATTTACGAATTGTCAATGACTTCATGAGATAGTCAATGCAATAAATGCAAAAATCCGATGTGAAGAACTACACGTGTTAGAACTGTCTATATCATAGAAACGTGCGGTGTGAATTTGAGTAAATACACACGTAAACACCCATAAAAGCAATGCAATTTAAAAGCACATGCCGGACAAAAAAAAATACCTCAGTATACCACCAAATGCCTGCTAAATTGTGTCCACAGAGACAAGATATTGGACAATCGAGGTTGTTATGGGGCCCAGCTATTTCAGTATCCCAACGAGTGGGTCTCGAATAAAGTGAGGGAGTAATCTTGCTCTAAGATAGGGAGTGTACAAAGTGCCGCTGGAAACAATGTTGGTTCACAGTAGTCACAACATCTGGCTGATGGCAGTCATCATTCATGGTTCAGAATTTTTATCCAAAAATATTTCACAAATTATGACAGTCTCATCTATTATTTCAAGGCCTGATCTTTTGGTGTAAATGTCAGATTCCTGTGGCAAGGGTGAGGCATTTTTCATGTTTGCTTTGTTGTCCTTCCCCCCGCATCTCCGATTAGCAGTTAGATACGTACGGTGCAAAAAAAGTTCAACATACAAATCCACAGAACAAGTACTATTGACTTCCTGCAAAGTGGTATTCATTTTATGAGCCGTTTTAAGGGTAAGTCAAAGCCAGAACAAATCCAGAACAGTATTTAAAACGTTCAGCCTTCCCATGCTACTTATACAGCAACTGCAACACCCATTTGAACAATATAACTGCAATGCAGTAATCTTAATTTGCACAGCAACTTTTAAACAAAAACTATTATCTTAGATTTTAAATTGCTTAGTCCATTATAAGTTACGACGGCACTTTAAACGTGCATATTGCACTGTGGTTCCCTGTAATTGGTAACTGCCATGCGTATGCTTCTGGTTACTCTCCAAGTGAATTGAACGCTCTTCAAACGTGCGCCGTCACTGAACAACTGCACGTCGAAACACCGCGCGGCTCTCGCTTGTGAACGGATAAAGGTCGCACAGCAGGGTGAGGGGGGTTCGGGCTGAGCAGCGTCCACGCGAGACGGCACCTCCCTCCTCGTCCGGGGCACCGGCAACGTGCCACGTGGCGCGCCGCGCGGCACGCGCTCGGATGAGTGAGTGTCATGCCCCAGGACAAGCCTTGGAACCCGAGTCAACTCGTCTGTGGAGCTCGGCAAGGACTACAATGGCCTTTTTATTTACCTGTACGCTAGCGATGGAATTAGTTGTGTTCTGATTAGATGTTAGGGTTCGTTTTTCACAGAGCACACAGAAATACTGCATAATGATTCATTAATTAAAGTACATACATCAACAAACGTCATTATTATACATATAAAAGGTAATTTGGATTGAGTTTTAGATTTTAATAAATATTTTTTTTCTATTACAGATGTCCAGTAATTATGTAACAATTGAATGTGTCGTCGTGCTGGAAAACAACTGCTCTCAACGGTAGTCGCAGTGGTATCCATGGAGACAAGCCTATTCTCGTTGGTTCTATTCGGTAAAGTCACGTAGGTAAAAAATAAAACAACAAAAATCACGACGTTTCGGCCATCATTATTTTTTTTTACCTACGTGACTTTACCGAATAGAACCAAAGAGTATGGATCCTTGCAGTCACGAAAGCTTTAAATCTAGACAAGCCTATTGTTCACTTGTGTGGATTCCCCTTGCAGCCACCACCAGCTCGCCGCGTGCTTTGCCCCCGCTGTCTTTGCGGTATCATTGCACTGCACATACCGGGGTCCGCAGGAGTGTCCATCCATTCTTCCAGCTCAAGAGGCGTATCTGTTGAAGCAGCGCCATAGTTCCCCTAGCGCAATGAACACACACGTTTGCACAGTAGACCACAAACAACAAAAGGTTAAGTGCGTATATACGTTTAACTTCTTCCGCGCCGTACGTAGCCAACCGTGCTAATCGGAGGTGCGGGGAAGGACAAGGAACTAAATACGAAAAGGTTAAGGGGCAGCCCTGCAATAACTTGTTCATGCCACCGCTGACAGAAGGGCCTTCAAGAAAGGGAACTCGAGAGGGCCTGTCTAGAGGTAATTTTGGCCTACTCTTCCACGTTGGCTCGACAACTTTAGAAGAGGTATGAATACCCACACTTTATCCCACCGCACGTGACCTTACCCATCCACTAGGTTTGGTAGACCCACTTACAACGCTGGGTTGATCGAGGCAGTGCAGTGGGTGATCAGATCAAACCAGCGACTATCTGGATTGGAAATAGAATGCACTCACCATTACACTTTGACAGCATTCCATACTATATGGCACTCTATATTAAGGAAACAATCACACTTGACTTGTAAATTTATCATTATAAGTACACCGTGATCTTCATTGAAGTATGCAATGTCAGTACACCACATCCACATAGCTTGACTGTGGAACACTGCTGACTAATGTCACGGCGGGCAATTATTAAAAAAAAACATTCTTAAGGTTATGTGACCACTCTCATTATCTCAGTTACAGAAAACAAATAACAATGAATATGCAAATATACAAGCGGACCATACGTCTCCTTCATTAATGTGTCTCTCCGTGTAACAAAAACATGTACACAACCCGTCAACCCGCCGGGAGTGCATACTTTTGGAGAGCATCATTTCATCCGTGTTGAGCCAAAACTCTGCACAGAGGCAGACATGCTTGATGCAAAGCTCGACCGAAGCGCTTCATACATCTACATGATAAGATCAAAAAATAGATATGATAGGCAATTACTCTGTCATGAAGGTATTGGTCCTATTTCGATGCAAAGTTAAAGAGTGCATTAACAAAAATATTTATCAACATCCTCGTAGAGAACAGAAGAAGGTTAAAGAAGGGGACTGCTTGATGTACAGGGGCAGTGTTGAGTCTCTGGGCACTGTTGAGTCTTTGGGTAGTGTTGAGTCTATGGGTAGTGTTGAGTCTATGGGTAGTGTTGAGTCTATGGGTAGTGCTGAGTCTGTGGGCAGTGTTGAGTCTGTGGGCAGTGTTGAGTCTCTGGGCAGTGTTGAGTCTATGGGTAGTGTTGAGTCTATGGGTAGTGTTGAGTCTATGGGCAGTGTTGAGTCTTTGGGCAGTGTTGAGTCTGTGGGCAGTGTTGAGTCTCTGGGCAGTGTTGAGTCTATGGGCAGTGTTGAGTCTATGGGTAGTGTTGAGTCTATTGTTAGTGTTGAGTCTATGGGCAGTGTTGAGTCTATGGGCAGTGTTAAGTTTGTGGGCAGTAATTCATATTCTTAGTTTTTTCGGTGAAGTCACGTTGAAGGGAAACAACAAAATAATAAAATATATATAAAACTCAAGCACGTACACCAAGCTCTTAGGGCTAATGGTTACTCCGACTATACAATCCACAAAGCTATCACTCAAACCATGAAGAAGAACCCTCTTGAGGAGCCTTTCAAACCCATCACTTTACCCTACATTGCTGGGATCACAAAAAAGATCTCCAAAATCTTGAATAAACACAAGATCCAGGTCCGTTTCAACACATTACATAAAATCCGTGATCTGGTTCCGTCTGTAAAAGATGTGATTCCGGACATACAATACCCTGGTGTCTACAAACTAAGTTGCCTCTGTGGTAGTAGTTACATTGGAGAAACCAAACGCCATGTCTCGGACCGCATTCGTGAACACAAAGCAGACCTTAAACACGGTAGGACCAACACCTCGGCCGTGGCAGATCATTGTTCTAATTCAGTAGGCTCACATGCCATTGACTTTTCCAAGACAGAGGTTCTTTGTAAGCCATCTGGCTTCCATGAGAGATTCGTTCATGAGGCTATCCACATATACAAGCACAGAGACAATTTCAACCGAGAAGATGGATTCTATCTTAGCAATCATTGGAAAGATTTGATAAACCATTTCAGGTCTTAATTGATTGTTCACGCTTACAGTGGCTTTCAGACAGCATGCATTATAAAAAAATTCGTCTCCCCCCTCCTCTTTTCAGAATATAGATGGACTAGTCCTAAATAAACTGCCAAATCGTTGCGCGTGGCGCTAACGTTTTTTTATAAATAAATAAATGCGCCGTTTACAAATAAATTTATGCGAACCAACACACCTGAAGACGACCGTTTGAGTTATGGTCGAAACGTCGTGATATTTTTTTATTGTTTTATATATATTTTATTATTTTGTTGTTTCCCTTCAACGTGACTTTACCGAAAAAACTAAGAATATGAATTACTGCAGTCACGAAAGCTTTAAATCAAAATTTGTGGGCAGTGTTGAGTCTGTGGATAGTGCTGAGTCTATGGGCAGCGTTGAGTCTATGGGCAGTGTTGAGCCTATGGGCAGTATTGAGTTTGTGGGTAGTGCTGCTCAATGTACAAGGGAGGATGATTCCAGTGGAAGGGGGCACAAGAAGAGAACAACAGGAGTCCAGACGGGTAAAGATCAGGGCTTGATTTAGAAGTTTGGCAGAAATAAAAATGAGAGGCCAGATCGTCCTGATGTCGAACAGACGAAGGCAGCAGATGCGAGTAGTAGAGGCGATGTGGGTGGAAAGAGTGAAGGAAGGGTTAACGGTGACACCAAGCTTATGGGCAGAGGAAGCAGGAGTGAGTGAGAGAGAAAGGAGGAGATGGTGGGAGCCGGAGGCGGAGAGCGAGAGACAGGGAACACAATGTTGGTGAGGCGATGTAAATGGCTTCGTTTACTTTTACAACTAAATGTTTCCTGAATCAGAACTGATAAAAAAATTAAACAAAATCAAGTACGTTTACATTTTAATCCTATACCACTCTGCTGCAAACAAGTCGGGCAGGATAGTCATCAAGTCAGGCTATCGATCAGGATAGTGATCGGGCAGGATAGTGATAGGGCAGCATAATGATAGGGCAATATAGTGATCAGGGGCTTGACCCACAACCGGAAGCTTGTAAGTTCAAATCCTCGTCAAAGGGTTGATCCAGAATATCATATCTCTGGGATCGATACATACAGTATGTCGTGACACCGCGGGATGTCAACGGGCAGTGCCGGCCCTAGAGGGGCCCGGTGAGCACTGATGGATAGCGCTCGATGGCACCACGCTTGGCGTGCAGTGCCAGCCCCTACAGGACAGGCTGTGTGGGTGCCGCCTGTGGATGAGGTTACTCGAGGCCATGGCACTCTGGTTGACCCGGGAGGACACGTGACCGGTTAAGTCTACAAAGGAGCCCCAAGTGGGGGCTAGGGGTGGTCACGTGATTGGGACCCAGATCCTTCCCGAGGATTCTGGAAGGTGGCCGGCCACGCCGCAGAGAATCTAAGCCGGGTCTCGAGAGGGATCCGGGTTGTTGTTGTTGTTGTTGTTCATCCTGGAAGAAACCTTCGTCTGTGTTCTACGTTCAACGAGTCTCCAACACGTGGACCCAGAGCCAAGCTGTTGGTCCCGGTCCGTAGTAGCAGTTACGTTGTAACTAGTGTAGTTAGCCTGGTGTTATTCTGTGAAGGGGAAGTTACCCCATGTGTTGGAGTTGAATAAATGTGTTGCCTCAGTTTAACCCATTACACATATTTAAGAGCACATTGCTTAAAGTCAACTGTATCATCATCCGGTTAATAGACGTGCCCCATGTATCGTGAAAGTGTTCATCACTGCCTTAGGGCTGCCAAGATCCGAGATCGATAAGAATGCGTGTCTCATGAGACACTAACGCTTACGTAATGCAGAGGTCTACACTTCAACATGTTAATTTGTTTACCAATGTAAGCAACCCACTCTTAGCCAAACACCGAAGGTAATAGATACAGTCTGACATTGCAACATAACACCTATAGGATTGATTTATTACTAATTGCGAACCCCCCCCCCGCCCTGCCCATTAGCACTCCTCAGTGGCCTTGCATGGCAGACCTGAGTCGTGATGAAGGCACCCACGTGCACTGCAACCTCACGCTTCAATACAACGCATGCAATTAACCCAGTTGAGCAAACATCACCGCCAGTCTCTGCTAACAGGTCACGAATGACAACATTAAAACGTGCAGCACATGCAATGCATGTTTTCTAAGCCCAACAGTATCATCATCATCATCATTATAAAATGCGCGTGTTCCGCTTGTACGCTAAAGTAACGTGGGGGTGCGTCTTACAATCCGTGAAGTTGTTTACGTGTGACCTTTTAGTTGCTATTTATTTATTTATTTACTAATTCATTTATTTTTGGTATAACCCTGTGAGCCATTCGGCTCTTGAATCGGGTGTAACCACAACAAACAAAAAAACAAAAACACGAACAAGAAAAACATCTTAAAGTGACTGTGACTGTGCAAACAGAAAATCCATGAAAAACAGCAAAATATCCCTGAAAAAAGCACCGTACACCAACGCTGTGTGCAAAAACTCCCAGTGGGATGCAAGTCAAACAACAACAACCACAAGAAAACTTAGATTAAGGCCATCAGTCTAACTCCGTACTACAACAAAACAAACATGTCCAAACCAAAAAACTTTTCGAAATCACCAAAAAATAAAGCCATAATTGCAACGTAACAGTGATCACAGGGACTGTGACCGAATTTTTACAATAAACTACATAAATAACATGTGACCTGATTTGTCTGCAGAAACTGAATTGACACCGGGCATACGTTTGGGTTCCGTTTTACTTTCCGGAGTTTTTTATAATCCTGAAAATACAATGCGCATCATAGCAATGCTTGCCATAAGCATGACTCTATATGTGGTGTATGCATTATAATTCAAACGTATGGTATTGGCCAGCTTTTCTTCAGTCATACGCAACTATGTTGTTTGTTTTTGTTGCATTTCAGCCTTGTTTAACCACAATATTTCTTTGCTAAACTACAGAGTTCATAAAATGCAGGTTAAAAAAAACCACAAGTTAGGTGCATGATAGAAGCTCACCGCTGCATAGGCACCTCAACCAAATGACAAAGCTCGCATACAAACCAGCTTCTGGCGAATGTTTAACAACAACACAGTCGCTCTGGAAACTGCCGTGAGCGGGGCTCCTTCCGTGAGACACCGGTGACTTGGGGTTGCCGGTGTTGTGACTGGCGCGTCTACCCACACCGGTATGTTGTGTGTGTGTGTATGTTGTGTGTGTGTATGTTGTGTATGTTGTGTGTGTGTTGTGTGTGTGTGTTGTGTGTACGTTGTGTGTGTGTTGTGATGAGAGTGGGGAGCGGTAGTGTAGCGGTTAGCGCGCTGCGCTGCGCTGCGAACCCAGCGACCCATTGTCTATCCAGCAGTGGATAGACAATGGCTGATGACGATGATGCGTACCGTGAGCGTGCAACGCCTTGCGCGCTACGCGACCCAAGTGCGGCTCTTGTCAACGGTCGCCACGGAGTTTAGAACTATTATAATCAAGCTCATGCTGCGTGGACGAGGATGTGTTGGGGTATACGCTGACAGGTACAGACTGTGCGCAATTCCCGCAAAGGGCTCCATTGGGATGACAACGTCACAATCATCGCCCACTGCTGGTGGATAATACCCCGCCTGTGGGCCAGGGGTCACGAGCAGCGAACAGCTTGAACGCAACAATAATAAACAGTGCGGGGACCACGTCGTGGGGTTGTATTTTGCTTTTCCGATTGCCACCACCACCCCCTGCCTCCACAGGATCATGCACTGGGATCGCTGGAAGAATCCCCGCAGGGATGCACACACGAGTGGCAGCCAATCGCCCTCCGACTCGGCTGTGGTTTCGTTGTGACGTTCGTCTTCTTCGTGGCTATTGTTGTGGTTGTGTTTGTCTGTTTGTTTTTTTACAAGAACAAACATGTCCCGGGTCCGACATCGCACGCCGAAAAAGGTCCCGCTAAGAGGATAACAACAACAACAACAATCCGCGGACATCGATTCCGGGAGCTCGTGAAAGGAGAAAGAATGGAAATAGGGGCCCCGCTGCCTCAACAAAGTGGGGGCTGTGTGGTGGTGGCTGTTGTTGTTGTTTGTAGTTGTGTGTGTGTGTTGAGAGGGTTGTGTTTACGCGTGCAGTTGCGTTGGCGCGCTTTGAGTGGTGCTGTGTTTGTGGTTGTCCGGGCCGGTTGTTGCGTGTATGGCTGTGATTGCGACAGCAACTGAGGTGTAATCTAAGCCGCTTGTGAAGCGCTTCCCACCCACACCCCGGCATGAAAGAGAATACGACTTTATATCGCACAAACAAAAGTGTCATTACAAAGTGTACATTTTCGCACTGATATTTTTTTACACGAGAGGGGTGTCCAAGAGCGTATTTAAACTGTGAAAATGCTTCAATAAACTCTAAACTCCGTTAGGATTCCATCTTGCACGAAAATACCACGCGCATTCGATTGCTTCGACATATTTTGTGCATACTGCATTCTTCAAATGTTTCTCGGTCTGCTGTCGACGTCTCAAGTTCAGTTTAATACGTAGTGGCCGTAGGCTTTAGCGACCAATATCATACTTAACAATATAGTTTGTGTTGGGTTAGATCTTGTAAATATATAAATGTGTCGTTAAAACCGCCACCACCCGACACAGCCAACTAATAAGAGTTGCCACGGAAACAGAACGTGCCAATTCGTCACTAGTGCAGCACACCGGTGTGTTGGAGAGCAAAGCCACATCATTTACAATCTGAGTACGACGTTTCGCCAGTAATTACAACTAGCTTCATTAGGCGACAGCCAGATTTCTCAAGTTCACCGCGTTGTTCACGCTGACTAACCCGGCCTCAACCCTGTCATTAGTCAATCTCTCGTCGCTATTTGGACGATTCGGTGACATTGGTTCGCATTTCGGAAAGTCACCCGTAGAACGTGCCCGTGATGAACCAGTACGAACCTCACGGTTCCTAGGCTGTCTTTTGTCTAACAACCCTGCACGGTGGCACGCGCGTTGTAGCTTATACAAAGCTGCGGGCATGCAGTCAGTCTCACGCCACCGGCTGGCTACTCCACGCATTGTATGGACGTGTGTTGTACTTGTTTCGCACCGTATGTTGAACTTCTTTCGCACATGTGCAAAGCCAACTGTGCTAATCGGAGGCGCTTGGCCCATGCATTCCACCTTGAGAATGCTGCTGTGATGCGCACACATCACACTTGCACCCACGTGGATGTGTACGACACGGAACGTCCGCTGTACACCGGCACGTTTAGAAGTTGGGACGTAAGGAATTGGCAGCGCATGTTGGCAGGTTAGCGTTTCCTAACGGCACCGTTTGACTTGTTTTTAAGTTAATTGGTTTAGTCAAACAAAACTCACTCTAAACTAAAAACTAAACTTTTCAATTTTACCAGGTAAGGCCTACTAAGCTATGCAGCTGTATTTCAGAAGCGACCCGGCCACAAATGAAAGCTCAACGAAGTGGCTTATCACGTGGAAATGTATATCAGCCGAATACTCTAAACGCGTGTTATTAAATGTGGAGGGGAAACCCGGAGGACCCGGAGAAAAATCCACGTGACCACGCAGAGAGACACGCAAACTCCAAATACACAGCAGCAGGCGTCAGGGTCGGGATTTAACCCACGACCTCCTGTATACCAGGCGAGGGAGTTAACATCTCACGTGTTAAAGAATTAACGGCCGTGCTTATTAATTCGTTGGGCCGTCCAGTTTAAGCCGAGACATTAGTTTAACACGTAGGCTTTCGCGACCAATACCGTTGACAACAAATTAATATATTTACACGATCTAGCCCAAAACAAACCTGTATTGTGGATATTCCGCGTAAATTGTTGCCGTACTGCAATGGTCGCTTAGGTGTGAGATTCGCGTATTCGTATCGAGTTGGTGGTGGCGGTGTGTTCTTAGATTTTGAATGTGGGCTGAAGTAATGTTTGCGGTAATATTCATCTCAAAATGTGTTTTCAAGTCAACCCGCATTGTAAAATCCTATTACAAGGTCGTTTTTTTTTAGACCTGTGTATATGTCAACTGATGTTAACTCTCGTCTAAATGGTGTGTGCCTGAGTAAATGTTTTGTCAATTCATTGTTGGGTAAAACATAACATTTGGTGATACTGCATTGGCAGCGGTGCACAGGCACAAATAACAAAAAAATACACATTTGTGAATAACACTTAAATATTAAAAGTATACACTCGGTGACGTTTTAGGCAATGGTCCTTCTTCACAGCACATAGAGGCCAGAGAGGTGGGTACCAGAGGGATGGGTTCAAGAGGGGTGGGTACAACTCTTGCCTCCCTAAGTGCTGTAAATAAGGGCCATTGCCTGAAACGTCACCGATTAAATATTATTGCAAGGCAGTGTTATTAACGAGTGTGTTGAGTTTAATTGTTGGCTAAAGGCCCCGCTCACGCCGTGTCGATGATGACAGACGATGTAAAAAAACAATAGCGTAAGAAAGCTAAGAAATGTAACCTTTCATTGTCCGTGAGAGTAAAGTAACCCAAAAATGAATCATCACTTACTCAGATATAAATGAAGCCGTTAAGTCCAATTACCGTTGTGCATGACAAGATATTCACAACGTTCATTTAAAATGCAGCATCTATCTTGCAAGGACTGTCAACCCAACTATCCTTTCCTCTCATCAAAAACAAACACTACCCGGCATGGACTACCGAGAGAGACTTTGAAGATGACAATAAAAAAGATGATAATGCGCGCCTCTGACCTGCGCCACCATCGGCGTGCTGAAGTCAATTTCAATCGCCTCCTCTGTGGCAAGGGGAGCCACAACCCACAGGCGCACGCGTGACATCCCGACGCTGTAACAAACCTGCCCGAGCAGTTTACATTCGCTCACCGACGCGACTCCCCCTTTACCACCACCACCACCACGGCCAATTGCGAAATTAATTAACCTGCAACGCCACCGCGACGGCGCACCGTCGCTGTGTGTGTTTGCGTATCTCACCTCACGCGGCGCGATAGACGTCTCTCCCTCTCTGAGATTGACTGTGTGTTTAGTGTGTGTGAGTGTATGCTCTGTGTTCTGTGTCCACCACGCTCTGGCAGTCACACTCGCCGTGCTCGCATCGTGCTGCTAGCACCAGTGGTCGAGTGAGCGCGTGGGGGTCTCGGCCCAGGTGTTGTGCGCGATGCCCCGACCCCACCTCCCACCTCCCACCCCACTCCACCCTTGCGTGAGGACAGGTCCCGTGCGCGTGACGTGGAGACCATGAAAGCCCCGTGGCCGCACCTGTACGCGTGAATGTGCGTGTGCGGTGTGTGTATGTGTGGTGTGTGTATGTGTGGTTTGTGTGGTGTGTGTATGTGTGGTGTGTGTATGTGTGGTGTGTGTATGTGTGGTTTGTGTGGTGTGTGTATGTGTGGTGTGTGTATGTGTGGTTTGTGTGGTGTGTGTATGTGTGGTGTGTGTATGTGTGGTGTGTGTATGTGTGGTTTGTGTGGTGTGTGTATGTGTGGTGTGTGTATGTGTGGTTTGTGTGGTGTGTATGTGTGGTGTGTGTATGTGTGGTGTGTGTGTTTGTACGTGCGTGTGTGTGGGGAGCGGTGGTGTAGCGGTAAGCGCTGCGCTATGAACCCGGCGACCCTGGTTCGATTCCCGCTCACGGCCAACACCAGTGACGATTATCTGAACCGGTCCTGGGCCTCCCCCTAGGTCGACTCAGCCTCAAATGAGTACCTGATGCTGTGTGTATACATCGCCACTGGGGAGACAAAGGCGGTCGGGCGTGGTGTTGGCCACTCACCCCCTTGTGTGCCGTTCCGGCCTTCATAGGTGCTGGCTACCAGCACTTGCCCCAACAGTCTGTTAAGACTATACAGGGGATCTTTGTCTTTTGATACCTCAGTCCGTCAACCCATAGCACCCGTGGGTCTGTCTCGTGACCTTCCAGCGAGTCTTCGACACTTGTGACGTCACCGCTAATTCGTGGCGAATGGCGATTATTGTGTATGGGGAGCGGTAGTGTAGCAGTTAGTGCGCTGCGCTACGAACCTGGCGAACCGAGTTCAATTCCCGCTCACGGCCAATACCAGTGACAATTATCTGAACCGATCCTAGACCTCCCTTAGTACGGCTCAGCCTTAAAATAATACCTGGTACGGTGTGTGAACATCGCCACCAGGGATACAAAGGCGGCCGGGCGTGGTGCTGGCCACCCACGCCCTCCTCTGCTATGCCAGTCTTCAGAGGTGCTACTCATTAAAAGCACTTGTCCCCAAGAGTCTGTTGATGGATACATGGGGAGTCTTTGTGTGTTGCTCTCCATTATCAGCACGCGGATGGATTCTTGACCAAGTTCTCGACATTTATCCGAGTGGACAATGGCTGCAAACCGTAAAAGCAGTTCAGCACAGCTGCTCTGAAATTCCCACGATGTTTGTCAATCATAAGTGTGAGGTATTCTTCACGTCGGAACCCCAACTTGCCAAAGAGCCTTCGTGGCAACCCTGTTTGTATGTGCGCCAGTGCCGGATTATCCCAGTTGCATAAGTAGCTACACATGTAGTAGTAGTAGTAGCTATGGGCCCCTGCACTGTTCAAGCTATCAATTCCGGTTCAGTGATTCTGCACTTGCTCTATTACTATAGTACTATACTGCCTTCAACTTTTATGAACGACTTGGTGTTTGAGGTGAGCGATTTATTGTATTATCTGGTTGTATAGCTAATAAAAAAAAATACGATTACTTCGCTATGCAAGTAAAAAAATGTGTGTTTTAATATTAACGTTTTTTTTATTTAGGGCCCCTTTATAACGTATGCCACAGGTCCCGCATTAGCTTAATCTGGCACGGATGTGCGCCTATTTTTTCATGAACGTGGTGGCATTTGAACCAAAGAACATTCACATTGAGCTCTCGACACTTGCGAGGCGTGTCTCATGGCCTTCGGCGACCTTTGTTTCTGGCTTGCATCAACATTCCTGGTTTTTCCACGTGACGTGACTAATGTAAATTACCTGTCTCGTGATCTGTGCTTTGTGCAACAACACTACACAATGGGTGTGGCGATTATACAATGTTGGACAAATACAATGATGCTCGTTTATTGCATTGACCATCATCGTCGTCGTCACGATCCATGGGCAGAGAGCCCGTAGCTATCCACTGCACATTTCGTCATTTTGTTTAAATTTTCCTCTGTCTTGTTCCAATATGCTCCAACGCACATATTTCTGTCACCAGTCTCTTATGTCGCCAAACCATTCTCTGTTGGGTCTTCCCTTCTTTCATGTTCCTTTCGTTTTCCCGAACAACACACGTATAATTGTCCTGTTGTCCATCCAACATACTGCATGTTTCATTCATGTTCTTGCGAATGGCAATGTGTTCAGAAGCCAGATGCCAATGTCGATGTCTGCTCGCCTCGAGAGGGCTTGAAAAGAAAGCGAGTCCATAGGGTTTTGGTGTTCCACTTCCTCCGTTGAAGGAGCGCAGACTACAGTGGTTTACGATATGGTTAATTGTTTGGATTGCATGGCCAATGCCACTCATTTATTACACTTACCCGAAAATTGTTTCTGCATTGCAAAACTATGGATTGTATTAGGCAACACATGTTACTATAATTCCAATCTACCGCCCTCTTTTCATTCCACTGCCGGATGAAGGCCACTCCTACATGTGTCGGTCTTGGGGTTAGTTTGACCATACTTCACCAGTTTGATCGGTGTGAAATTGTGAAGGTGGAGGTGGGACCGGGGGTCAGATATCACTCACCATAGCTGGGACTCGAACTCAGGATGACAGAGCACAATAACCATGACATCACCATAAAAGAAGTCCATTCACCTTAGATATTAACAACTATTTATTTTTTGGTTCTTTTGGCAAAGTCACGTAGAAATAGAAAATAATAAATTACATCATATCGGCAAACGTGACAGTCAACCAAAGAATAATTCCTGCAGTCACGAAAGCGCCAAATCAAGCTTGAACCACCTCTACGGGTAGGTTTTAAGTTTGTTTTCTGTCTCTCTCTCTCTCTGTGTCTCGTTGTTGTCTCTCTCTGCTTGTGTGTCTGTATTTGTGTCTCCATGTCTGTGCCTTGCCTCTCTCCCAAATTTTACACTTAACTTCTAATTAAGTAATCTTTGGAATAACGTAATCAACCAGGCCATGTGTTAATTGTGTGTTGACCGACTCTCTGTGTTGCATTACATTACATTTCTAAATTTTACTAAGTTTATTACCTGATGATGGTTGCTTACCGAAAGAACCAAAGAATAATTCCTTTAGTCACGAAAGCGCCAAATCAAACTATTTATTTATTGGCGTATCTTGCCTGAATGTCCCTGTAGATAACAACACCATCAACCTCCATTCGCCACTAGGTGGCGGTGACGTCACCACGGCGCTTGTGCCAGGCTATGTGCACGTTGAGGCCACGTGAAGTGTCTAACGCCCGCTTGCAGGAGGTCACGGGGCAGGCCCATGTGCCATTGGTCGACTAACTGAGATGACTGGCCGATGCACCACCTTTGCCCCCTACTGTGCCAAGTTGCTGTTTTAGCCGCCCAGCGCTCCGCTCGTTGTTGTGATCATCGCTCCTCTGCCCTCCGTTGTTGCTGGAGGGCGACTGCCTCCAACTGCCCAATAGCGTCTTTCACGAGCCTCCCCTACAGAGGCCGATCTTGACACCGCTGCTACCAGTAATCGGAAAGTCCACTCAGCTCCACATCCACTTCTACCACATAGTTCCATCTCTTCTCTAGCCTGTTCCGCACCCGTTTAGCCCCCTCGATCCGGCCGAACAAAAGCTTTTTAGGCATGCGGTGGCTGGGCATGCGGGCTACATGACCCAGGCTGTACATAGCAAACACGTAATGACACGTGCACCATGATATTTAAATCTAAAATATATACAGCACACATTTATACCACCAGTTTATACAGAATATTCACATAGAGCATACTCTAACGTTCACAATGGTGAGTATTGTGCGAGTAGGTTTTCATTACAGATTTAAATAAGTTGAGACTGGTAGGTGACACGTTTAAAGTGTGTCTGGGAGGTCGTTCCATATGTGGGAGATATAATCACGAAACCCTTCCACTGGCCAGACGGAGTTCTGTATCCTCCGCTGAACTCACGGCATCTCACGGTGAAGGGCAACGTTGTCCGTGCGTGTCTTTGCATGTGTCAACCCTGCCGTGCCTGGTGCGTGTCTTTGCAGGTATGAACCCTGCCGTGCGTGTGGCGTGGACAGTGTGATTCACAAATGTGCGTGCCCGCATGAAGTTTTTTTTGTTTAAGCGAAGGACGCTTTTAATAAGCAACCGTCAACGAGAGTTAGAGGAGGAGAATAATGCAATGTCTCTTGGTGTGGTGTTACTCTGGTTGTCCCTCTGTGCTGCCAAATACATCTTTCCCCTGGATGTTCTTCTCTGTGTATGTATCTCTGCTACCTTGTACCTCATATCTGTTCACTCTGTCTACGTTGGTATGTTCAACCCAGAGGTGAACACGAAATTTAGCAGTCTTTTGAAATACGTGGTCAACCAGGTTAGTGTCTAACTGTGTTGTTGGTCGACTGGTTTGGCATCACGTTATTTTTTCTTTGGTTTGTTGAGTTATCGTCTCTCATCTTCTTGTTTTATTTGCCACCGTGCAGTTCACCGTTCTCTATGTGCTATGTGCGTGATGTTGCCATATATGTTCCCTCGCTATGTGTTTTACCCAATTTCCACCTGATGATGATCGCTTTTGTATTGTTCGAAACGTCGTGAGTCATTTTAATTTTATTTTATTTAGTTAAATTGTATTTTATTTCTACATACGTGACTTTACCGAAAAAAAACAATGAGTATTGCAATAATAGAGTGGACAATTCAGCACTGATTGACCTAAATGTTTTCCTTTACAATATATTTCAAGCTGGCTTGCCCATGAGTGTTTAAATGATACGAATCAATTCCTCACACATCCTCCCACGCCAAAATCGTGACTCCACCGTGAAGAAAACGACATTCGGAGTTACGCAAGATTCTCGCACGTTACTTTATCGCCATGAGCTGTCACCCGTCGGCTTCTCGTTAATAAAAGTAAACATGTGCTCTGCACAAGGACGTCAGCGGTGCTGCTGATATTGAACTCAACAGCCGCACCCCTGTGTTGAGTTCAAACATGCGCGCATTACCAGAA